GACAGCTGATTTTTTTTTTAAGATGAGGCTGTTTCCTTGAACTGGGGAATATCCAGTTTCAAGTCACAACTTTTTACAACGGTCGCTTTCTTCTTCAGTGATGTCGACTTCACGTGGGAGGAGGGAGAGGATTCATTTGGAAGATTTCAGCTCACTGTGCTGGGAGGGACCAAACTCAAGGAAACCTCTGATCTATATACACAACTGCTGCATTTTTTATAAATATATGTAAATGTCCTATTGTAATATTTGATCCTGGAAATAAAACAAAACTGTTTTCAGTAGCTTTCTTCAGGTCTTGTTTTTTTGGGTTTGGGGTTTATTTGTTGGTTTAGTTCTAATTAAAGTCTGTCCCTGTGTTATGTGGGGAGTTCCATAGTTTTTCCTGAAGGATGCTGGGGTAGAAGGATAAGGAACTGTTGACAACAGTGCACTGCTTGCTGAGCCCAAGCAAACTTCAGCCCATTCTAGAGGGTACAAAATCTTGAAGTGAGACAAACTTTTGGGACCTTGATAGAAAAAACACCCTTATGAAAATGAATAAAAAGAGGCAGGGATAAGATTTTTTCCATCCTTCCAATTGGAAGAGCAGAGAAAATGGGGCTTTCCGTTCTGACCTGTCGGTGTCCTCCTGGTGCAGGTGTTGACAAGGCAGAGCCTCTGCTTTCTGCAACTGTTGTGGGGCTTCTTAGGTAGTTCTTGTCGTGGCCTCACATGAAGTGTCGATGAGCAGAGGCCCTTCCAGACAAGGACTTGGTAGATACAGTGGGTAACAATAATTAAGAAACTAATTTTGGGTCGTCCTCGTGTTCCTGGCTGTGGGTAGGTCTCCACTGAAACAGTGACCTTGGCCACTGCCTTGGTCTTGCCCGGTTTTAAGCTGGAAAACACCCTGATCTCTCCATGCAGCTTAGGAAAATATTTCCCATTCCTGCTGAGTCAGAAATCTTTTCATTTGCAGGTCAAGGGAACTACAAGGACACCTCAAACTCAAGAGTTTAATTTATTTTTCCTTTCCGCAGACTTCTTCCAATATTTAACGGGGTTGTTTTATCTGAAATATTAATTTAGGTGACATTCGCAAGGGCACTAAAGCAAATCCTGTCCAGCACCATTGTGTTGGTGTTTTTTCAGTCAGTTCTAGCCACAAACTCCCTGCAGGGCTTGCCCAAGAGGATTTTGGAGGAGTCTTGGCTGACTTGTGGCAGAAATAGATTTGCAGATTCCATGGAGAGCAGGAAGAGAGACCACTGGGTTGTGCTGAGCATCCTCTGGCCAGGACCACAGGGGTGGCTGGTTTGACACTGAAACGTTTCATCTCAACGCTTCCAACTCTGCTCTGGTTCTCCTTGAAGCCAAAACGCTCTTGAAACCAAACTGTGCACTTTCCCCAGCCCCAAAGGAGTTTCGGGAAGAGAGGGGGAGCAGGGAAGCAAAGAAGCTGCGAGAAGGAGTCAGAGAAGGACCTTGCTGAGCTGGAATTGCTTTACATGGGACCAGGTCTGGCTGTGCCTGGCAGCAAGTTCCTTGCCCATAATTGCTGTGCTGGTGCTTTCACAATTAAGCTCTCGTGTGAGAAAGGCAGGGACACAGCCCCTCGTGTGCTGGGCTAAAATTAACCTTTTATTATTATGATGATGATTACTCTTACGGGTACAAGGGGAAGATCAGCAATCCCAGATTCCCCCCTGAAGCCTCCCCGGCACTGGGTGGCCTGAAGTTTCCTGTGGGAGATGATGGAGAGGATCATGTGTGGGGCAACGTGGGAAGCTCAGTATCGCTGTGACGTAGGAAAGGCACAAGATGAGGTTGCAACACATTTTCGTCCAGGAGCGAAGGAACACTTCCCCTCGTTCTAAGTAAGAAAAGAGAGAAAGGAGAAATTGGATTATTCTCAACACTCTGCTGTCCTACATGTTTTGCCTTTGCTGTTGTCTGCATTTTAGAGACCAATTTGTCTTATTTAGGAATAAAATGGGAATTTCCATGCCGCTGCAGACTCTGATTTTTCCTTTCAGAGGAGCTGTCAGGTAATCTGCTCCTCTCATTTTTCCTATAGGAACAGGATTGCTTGATGTGACCCGGCCTCACCCATTCATCTTTTCCCATGTGACTCTTGAGGGCTCCAACTCCACCTTCTGTTTCTTCCTGTCTTGGAGCAGGATTTATATCCTCGACTCTTTGATTCAAAAGCAGGAATAACCACTTTGAAACACATCAGCAAAGGGATGTGGGTCACCCTGGGTAGAGCAGGTTGGGGTATGGACCAAAGGCATCAGAACAAGACTGTCTCAGGACACTGACACAGCTTTGCAGCCGTGGTGGATTGGGAAGCCCCTGTCCCAAGCAGCTGATGTGCCTCAGGTCCTCGTGAACACACAAGGAATAGGAACCATCTCAAAACTCTTCTTGGAGAAGATTCTTCCTTCTGCCTGCACAGCCCATGAACTATTCTTCTCTTTGCTCATGTCACCTGCAAACTCCTCTACCAACAAAACTGCCCCATTTTTGCCATTTTTGTGGTGCTGCAGTTCCTCAGTCTCCTATTCTCGGACACAGAGATCATCCACATTCTCCTAATCCTGTTCCCGTACTGTCAGACCTTCCCTGGGGGAATAGCAGAGGAGTTTCCCTGTTGCATGGTAACTGCCAGTGTGGGCACCCCGGGTGGGAAAAGGTGGTGTCTGAGGACTTGGAATAATTCAGATGCCCAGGAACCTTTCTCTCTCAATCTTATCACAAGGGCATGAGCTGTACTCAGCACCTGAGGAAAAGCTGGGCCTCCTCTGAGGAAGAAAAAGGTGGGAGTTAGGAACCAGCTGAGACACGAGAATGTTTATTTAGAAACTTTTGTTAAAATATCAGTGAAAGAGGGGAATGTTTTCCCAACACAGTCACCACAGGTCGTTCCAGGAGCAACGGCGTTCGCTTCTCAGGCAGCAGTCGAGGCACTTTGTGCAGATGTGGTAGAAGCCTTAAAATGTGAAGTTGTGCCTGTTTTGATGAACTCTGGCAGTGAAAGGAGGAAGGACCGTGCAGAAGGATCAGCCACAGCACCGGAGGATCTGGCTCATTCAGCCAGGACAGTCATCCTTTGGATGGAAGGATCATGACTGATGCATGGGCGGACCTTGGGTGGGAGGAGGAAGAGAGGGAGCACCCCCTGGGGCATCATAAATAGGCAGCTGGGGAGAGATGCCTCAAGCACAGGGCTCATCCAGGGGTGGACGCTGCTGGCTCTGCGTGTCATCACTCCCAGGTAAGCCAGGAAGCGGGGAGGACAGATCCCCTGGGCTTTGCTGGGATCCCTGTGCCTTTCCATGGAGATGTGCTGGCAGAAGGGTCGAGGCTTTTGAGGGTCCTGAGGGAGACTGGGTCAGCTGCACTGTGGCTTTGCCTCCCCTCATGCAGGGGTTTGTCTGTGTTGGCTGAGGTGGAAGCTGCTTGTTCAAGGGGAACAGCACACCATGGGGAGCTTCCCAGGGGAAAGAGACCTCCTGCCGTCCCCAGGGAGAGGGCAGCTATGGAGGGGAGGGAGAATCCTTGGAGAGGTTGAGGTTGAAGAAAGCTCTGGCTGGTGAGAGCCTGGGCTGTGAGCTCAGAGGAGCAGGAGCTGTTCCAGAAGGTCCTCCATGGTGGGGAGCTGGGACTTGGCACTGGATACTCACGGCTGTAGAGGGAGGACAACCACTCACAATCCCTGGACTGCAGGCAGGACCACACTGATGGTGAGGGGCCCTAAATTCCACACAGCCAAGGCGGGCAGGATGGAAAGCAGAGGGGAGGTGGAACTCCAGGATGGGGGGAGCTGTTGGTCCACTCGGGTGTCTTGGCTCGTGTCCCCTCCACGCAGGTCTCCCAGCCCCTTCCTCCGTGCTCAGCCCTCCCTGGCATCCTGCTGGCACTGGTGTGGGTGGTCTCCAGCAGCTCCCATTGGGCTGCTGCTCCCTGGCCCCTCGGGTGGGCCGGGCCGGATGCGCTGCCTGAGCTGTCCCTCCCTGGCGCACGAGGGGGCTGAGGCAGCTCTTCCCACGGGAACAACCAACAACCACGTGGGGCAGTGGTGCCACAGCCACTTCTGCTTTGCAAAGCCAGAGTAAGCTTGAAAAAGATTATCCAGAGCCAGAAGCAGCTCGATCCGAGGAACTTGTGCAAAGTGGGTCACAATCCACTAGGAAAGGGGAAAATGCAAAGACCCAACTTGGAGCAAAAAGAACACAGGATAGAAGAAACCTGGGAGCCAGGACAGCATCAAAAACAGGTTGTTTTCAGAGGTCCCAGAGTGACCAATGGACATCCCTGCCTTGTAGGAAGAGAAGATAGGTAATTTTGGACAAGGTATCACCTGGAAATGGGCAGGTGCTTTCTAGGTGAACTCACAACTTAGTAAGATGTCAGTGGAGTTGGAGGGTAGGGGATAACCTTTCCTTAATTAACTTTAAGTGGTTTCAGCATACTCATACCTATGGCAGGATTAGTGTACGACAGGGATGGAGTTGCTGTTGGATTTTTGATTGGAGACTGATGTGCTTTCACAAGTCCTCATCCAAGGATTTTGCCCCTTTCCTGGCTCACTCCCACTTGCTGCAAATACTGAAACTGAGCCATGGTGGGTGGTTTGCCCCCTGCAGTAATATTATCACAGACTAGTTTGGGTGGGAAGGGACCTTAAAGACCATCTCGTTCCAACCTTCCAACCCTGGGCAGGGACACATTCTGGAGGAGCCGACCCCCTGGTTGTGGAGGTCTCCAAGGCTTGGTGTGGGACCCGCTGTTGTCTTAAACTCCATTGCCTGTTTGGCAAAGAAATATTAGGATTTCCGTTGGAAATGGCCCTCAAGTAGGGACAGTGCCAGTCGGGTGGGCTGGGCTGAAACCCAAACTCACCACCCAGCAACTCCTGTTCTCCCACAGCTGTGGGATGGGCTTGGGGTGGGGAAGCCGTGGGGCCCCACGAGGCTGAACGCAGCCCTTTCCTCTCCTCCTCTTCCTCCCTGTTCCCATGCAGGACAGACATGTGTGTGGGGAAGTGCAGCCGGATTGTTGGTCCCTGCCTGCTGGCCCTGGGCACGCTCTCCGTGGCAGCCAGCATCCTCCTGCTCTTCCCTGGCGGAGCATCCAAGTACCTGTTGGAGGGGCACATCAGCAGACACGCCATGGCCGTGCCGGGTGTCTGGGGAGGCGGCATCCCCGTGAGTACTGTGGGTCACACCCGTCCCTCCTCAGGGGCCTGTGGAGCAGGGACAGAGGGATGGAGCAGGGCAGGTGGCTCCTCTTTGTCCCCCAGCCTCACTTCTCCTTCCCACAGGTGCTGCTGGCGGCGACCCACATCACAGCATTGGGGTGGCGATGCGCCGGCTGCTCCAACTGCGGCACCCGCTGGAACGTAAGGGACCCCTGTGCTAAAGCAGTGCCCAGCAGCGTGGGGGGACGTGGGGTGGGACTGGCAGGGAGCCACCTCTGCCATGGCCCCACAGTGGGATCCTCCTCTCTCCTCATCCCATGGTGGGATGTGGTGGGTGGTCCCTCTCCCACGGCAGGTCCTGGCATGGTGTCCCTCTCCAACGGCCCCATGGTGGGACACGGCACAGACCCCCCTTTCTCATGGTCCCATGGTGGGATGCTGCGTGGTGCCCCCTTCCCAGAGGCTTTCCATGTGTACTGGCATGGGCTCTGTCCCACCAGGCTCTGCATGGCAGACCCCTGCTTGTCCCTGCTCCCTGCCCATTTCCCTCCCTGCCTGTCCCTGCTCCCTGCCCATTTCCCTCCCTGCCTATCTCCACTCCCTGCCTGTTTCTGCCTGGCCCAGCAGAAGGCTGTTCCGCCCTCAGCCACAGCTGCCGGGGATTGGAGCCCCTTGAGTTGAAGGGGAGGGGAGTTTTCCCCCCTACCAAACGTGCTGACAACCAGCAGCTGTGTTTTGGAGCCCGCCTGACTTCCAGTGTCCCCTCTGCCCCCCTGGTGCTCCCCACAGGCCTTCATCTCCACCGTGCTCTCCAAGCTGGCGTTCCTGGGCGCTGCCGCCTGCTTCGTCCTCTCCGGGGTGGGTTTGACCAACGGCCCCCTCTGCTTCTACAACGCCTCCGAGCACAGCCTCGGGCACGGGGCCCTCTGGGGTTACCCATTCCCAGATGCCGCTGGCCAGGGGCCTGACACCAGGTGAGGGGTTGAATCACCAGTGCTGCCTCATCTGCCTATTGCTAATTAGTCAGTGTTAATTATGGGGGTGGGGTGGGTGGGTGCTTGCAAGACCCCGGTAGCTCGAGGGGTGCTCACCTTCCATGAATTTCTACGTAGTGTTTTGCACCTCCATCACCCCTTGACCCCACTCATCCTCGAGCTGAAGAACGGGATGTCTGGGACACCCTCCATGGTGGAAGCGATGGGATTGCTGACCTGCCACGGGCAGCATCCTGCATCTCCTCCCCTCCCCTTCACACAGGGCTAGGACCTACCTCTACGATCGGCACACCTGGAGCGTCTGCCTGGAGCCAGAGGGCATCGTGGCCTGGAACGTCACCCTCTTCTCCATCCTGCTGCTCGTCAGCGTGGCCGAGATGGTGCTGTCCTTCCTCCAGATCCTCAACGGCTGCCTCGGCTGCCTCTGTGGCCTCTGTGAGGGCAAGTAGGGCCTGGGGGTGCCAGGAGGCTGCGCTCGGAGGAGGTGTCACCCCCGGTGTCACTTGGCTGGTGGCACACGCCGTGCTGGAGGTGTGGTAGGAACTGTGACACCGGCCCACTGCAAGAGCCCCGTGTGAGATGGACAGAGTGCCCTGTGGGGGACGTACACCCCAAGTGTTGGAGCAGCATTAGTGGGGCTGATGTGCCAAGTGCTGCCCCCATGCAGAGCACCCCAACCAGGCCATACCACTTCCCTCCTCCCTGGAGGGGGTGCCCTTGGGGCTGCCAGCTCTTTGGGGTTGGAAACTGGCCAGGTGAAGGATGGAGGTGAGGACTGGGCTCACGAAACCTCAGTGTGAGCCCAGCGGCTTCCTCAGCTACCTGCACCCACCCCAGTGCAAAACGTGACACTATGGTGTTCGTAGAGACAAGAGCAGGACTCTAACGTAATTTTTGTTAATCAGTTCGTATTCATGGCAGTTGGGCTGGTGTTTGTCACCTGCAGAGGGCAGGAGAGGGGAAGGAGACCAGAGAAGCCGAGCTGGGCTCTGGCTGGAGCGCTTGGATGGAGTCCTGCTGGAGGAGGCAGGGCTGGAATTGAGGTGTAGACCCCCAAAGTTCACCCCCACACAAATGTCAGGAGCAGCTGCTGCTCATCCCCAGGAGCAGGACCCCACCGCTGTGCTTACAGGGGGGTCCTGGTTTCAGTGCATCCCCTACTCCCCTAAACCTTTACAGGGACCCAGTGTGGGCCTGAGCCTGCCCAGGCTGGGAGGGTGTTTGCCTCCCACTGACAAGGGCCAAGGAAAGCAGTGATGGTGACAGCAGATTAAAGAAACCAAAGCACTGAGCCAGATTAAACAGTAACTGGGCCATTGTGGTGGTTTAACCCCAGGTGGCACCTGAGCAGCACACAGCCACTCCCTCACCCCCATCCTGTGGGATGGCTGAGGAGAGAATCAGAGAGTTAAAAGTGGGAAGATCCATGGGTTGACATAAGAACAGTTTAATAATTGAAATAATAATAATAAATTGTAATGTAAAGAAAATAACAAAGAGACAGAAATAGAACCTAAGACAGACAAGTGATGCAACACAAACATCTCTTTATCATCAGCCCAAATCCAAAACCCAGTCCCATCCCAGCTATGATGAAGGAACTGAACTCTACCCCAGCCCAAACCCTCACAGTGACTTCGAGGATACTGTTGAGAAAAAGCATTTTCATGAAAAAAGAAACAATTTATATAACATGAAATATTTATATAACATATAAAACATTTATATAACATAACTATTTATAACAACGGGAGGAAAACTCCCTGGAGCAGGGTGATGGTACCAGATGTGGCACAGTTGGAGCACCGTGTCCCCCTGACCCAGCACACAGGGACGGCACAGGGTGCCCCCAGCTGCCTCCTTTTGGCATTGCTCTTGCTCCCCAGCATCTGTTTCTTGAGTGGTTCTTGCTGGAAAGGAGCCTGGGGCTGGGTGGGGGGCACAAGCCTCCCCACCAACCGATATATAATTTAAAAAAAAAAAAAAGTGAGATCGAACACAGCCTGGGGACGGTAACACTGCTCTGTGTGATGTGGCCCTGGACGGGGGGGCGGGACCTCAGGCTATGGGTTGATGATCTGGCGCTAGGGGGTGGGAGCTGACCCGGGGGATCACTAGGATAGGAGGCAGCTCCTTCGGCCCCGCTTCCCGTGGCGCCGGGGGCCGCGGCACCGGCGGGGAGCAGCGGCTGTCACGGGGATGTTCTGGAGCACGTCGTGCAGCGTGAACATGCTGAAGGAGATCTGCTCGTAGGGCGACTTCGTCCCGTTCTCGTATAGGCAGGCGAAGGCGATGGCCGTGCCACCGGCCACGGGGGCCTCCGTGTAGGGCAGCTCCATGTAAGCCAGGTCTGAGTAAGCGCTTGGACCCTCATAGATGACCCAGGGCTCTGTCCAGCTCTCCGCATCCCTGGGGAAGGTGCTCAGGTGAACCCCCATGTTGACCCGTGACATGGGGCTGGTGGGGTGGGAGTAGAGGATCCAAGTCGGCGCTTGGAAGAAGGGAGTGGGGCTGGGGGTTGCTGCAGGGTCCCCCTGGGCCAAGGTGACACTGTGGGCTTGCTGGTGATGCCCTGGGGTAGAACAGTCCTCATCGGGCTCATCTGCCTCATGGTGGCTGCCAGTGGCCACAGTGGGCAGCTCATCACCCACTGCCTTCCAGGTGGGCAGGTACCGAAACCCCTGGCACATCCTGGGCAGCAGCTGTTGAGCTGAGCCCTGGAGGGGCAACACAGAGTCCTTGGAGGTGGTGGGGACATAAACAAATGGTGCTGGGAAGCCGATGACACTGCCATGACAGCCATGGGGGGGCTCGACCAGCCGCTGGACCAGCTGCCCCCTGTGGAAGACGGCCCCGTCATCCGTGCTGAGCGCCTGGACCCTGAAGCCCAGCGGGCTGCGGGCATTGCAGTACAGGACGTTGGATCCGTCCTCCTCATCCACCGAGACCAGCTGGCACTCGCCCGTCTGCAGGTTGGGGATGAACTCCCCGAAGCGCCAGCCGCGGCCGTGGTCGTCGCTGTAGAAGGCGAAGGAGTGCGGGGTGGTCTTGCAGAGCTGCCCGAAGCACTCCTTGCAGTCGATGTGGTAGCTGTAGGCAGGCACCAGCAGCCGGCCGGAGCGCAGCTGGATCCCGTGCCCAGGGCCCAGCGCGAACGTCGCCCAGTCTGCGGAGCGGAGATGGGATGGGGTGAAGGTGCAGTGGGCAAACTGTGACCACCATGGTACCCTGCCATGCCCATGGAAGGGTCTCCCGGGCTTCCCCCATCCAGCCAAGCCAGGTGGTGGGTTGGGAGGGCAGCCTCGTGCTGCCTGGTTGTCCTCATGCATGGTCCTTCCCATGGCTATGGGTAGGTCTCCATCTTCTTCCTACCCCAAGCACTATAGATACTCCCTCCATCCCCTCTCCCCTCCATCTAAGGTTCTCTTCCACCCTCTTGGAAGCTTGTGGGCTTCCTACTCTAAGCTCACCTCCAGCCACACCACAGGTGGTTCCAGGAGGCCAAAACCTACAGTCACCTTCTTGCTGGCTATCCTTCCCCCTCCCCAGCCCTCTCCAGCTGGGTACCTTTGATGGCTGCACCAATGACCTGCTGTGTCAGGTCTGTGGCCGCGCTCCAGCTCAGGCCCTGGTCGGCGCTGGTGACGCAGCAGAGGCGGGTGACGTTCTGGCCAGTGACAATCTGGTAGGCTTCGGGCGTCCTGCCCAGCACCGTGATGAAGAAGAGGAAGAGGGTGCCTGTGAATTCATCGTAGAGCGGGCAGGGGTTCATTGACCGGTGGTGCTGCAGTGTCGCTGTCTCCAGCACGCGCATGTCTTCCCACTGCCCAGGGAGGAGGAGGAGGAGAGAATAGAAAGGGATGAGACAGGAGAGGAACATCCCACTTTTTCACCCAGAGAAGCTGTGACTGCTCCGTCCCTGGAAATATTCCAGGCTAGGTTGGACAGGGTTTGGAGCAACCCTTTCTCTAGTGGAAGGTGTCCTGCCCAAGGCAGGGGGGTAGAACGAGATGAGCTTTGAGGTCCCTTCCAACCCAAACCATTCTGGGATTCCATGATTCACTTCACCCATCCCAGCCTCCCCCTTCCATGCAGCCGTCTCCCAGTGCTCAGCTGTGCCACACAAATACAACCCCCCGTCTGTCCCCGTGTCCCCAGCCCTGCGTGTCCCTCAGCCCAGGGTGCACCCCCGTCCCACCTCCACGTAGCTGCCGTAGATGGTGCCGCGGCGCAGCACCAGCAGGTTGGCGTGGGCATCGTCGGCGCTGAGCCGCTCCTCGGCGAATGCCAGCAGCTTGGCCACGCAGGGCAGGTAGAGCAGGGCAGGCACACGGTACGTGACGCCGTTGGATTCCCTCTCAAAGAGCACGGTCCGGGCGGGGAAGTGCCGGGAGCCCATGGGGTCTGCGGCAGAAGGATGCAACCCCCACTACAGCGGGTTGGAGAAGGAGGGGGATCAGCTGCTGGGCACGGCCAGGGGCACTGGGCTGTCCTTGGAAGGGTTGGGGATCTAACGTGGTAGCTTTGGGCTTGGGGAAGAGCCAGGGAGCAGGGACTGAGGGGCAGGGCTGGGGTGGAGAGAGGCTGAATGTGCACTGCTCTGGTGAGGAGTCCCTGAGGCTCAAAGGGTGGCCATGTCTTTGGGTACCAGCAAGGAGGCTGCCCTGGGGACCCCAAAATAAAGTTAAATAAAATTAAATTGATCTTCAAGATGCTCTTCTGGGAAATCAAGGCCAGTGAGCAAAGGAGCTCCCTGCTCCCTTCAAGTGGGCGCTGGGAGGGCAGAGCCCACCTCTGCACACACAGGATCCCCAGATCAGCCCAGGCTCATCAGGAGGGGGTCAGGGAGTGTTTTGTCCTGTACCTCTGGTGCTTCCAGCACCATGGACCCAGTGGGCTCCCTTTTCCCTCTCCTCTGTGGGGGGAGCCTGGGGTGCACAACACAGACTGCAGGGTCCCTGGCCGGGCTGTCCCTGCAGCAGAGGGTGCGAGCTGTCCCCAAGTGCCCTTCCTTTGGGGTCAGCAGGAGTGCAGTGACTCCACGGTCCCTGGGGATTATTACCATAGGAAGAGATAGGCACCCCACTCCGGGCACAGATGGAGCAGCCAAGAGTGACTTTCACCTGTGGTTTAATCAGGAGCTTTTGCTGCTCTAACACCCCCCAGAGAAAGCGAAGGCACTCACCGCGTCCTGCTCAGCTGGGCTGTCCCCTCTGTCCCTCGGCCCCAGCAGCTCCCGCCGTTGCCAGGTTCCCGCAGAGCCGTCTCCTCACTGCTTGGCTGCCACCCCCTCCCCTTGCAGGGTCCCCCCACAGATGGGTCACGGGGCTCCCGCGGTGGCGGTGGCCAGGAAAAATCCCTGAGTCAGCAGTGGCGCTGCTGGTGCCGTGCCCATGGCACAAAGGCACCGTAATTGGCCCGGGCAGAGCCGGCGTTCCCGCGGCTGCTAAGCCTCCTTCTTTGGACCGCCGGGGATGGGATGCGAGGGGAGCCATGACGGGGGAATTACATCTCCTGCCTCAGTTTCCCTCCTCCTGCAGGCTGGGAGGTGCTGCAGCCCATGTTCACCATGGTCCACCCTGCTGTGAGCTCCCCAGCCTGGGGGTTGTGGTCTGGAGGGTCCCAGTCCTCCCAGGACAACCTTCCCAGGACCCCCAACTTTCCCAGGACACCCAGCCCTCCCAGAACCCCCAGCCCTCATAGGACCCCCAAATCTCCTCAGGATCACCAGCCTTCCCAGGCCCCCTAGCCTGCCCAGGACCCTTACCCACACACAGGTCAGCTACTAAGAAACTATTTTTACACCTATATTCCATTTCTGTCATCAGCTTAGCTTAAAGGGGCTTGACAAAATTCACAGGGCAGGTCATGGATCAGAAGCTCCAAGGGAAAACTGATGCAGATGCTGCAGAAGTGCCCGTGAAGCCCCCTGGGATGGCCCAGGTTGACCACAAGTGGCTCCAGCTGCTCCACCCTGCTGGTACAAATGCCTCCCAAGCCTTGGGTTAAGAGGGTTCCTGGAGCAGGGAACCGTGAAAATGCTGTTAATCTTTGTTGTTGCTGCTGGACACCTGCCTGTGAGGAGCACAGGTTGCAGGGCAGGTTAACCCCTGCCTCAGCTTCTTCTCTGCTGGATTTCAACAGAGCCGAGGAAAATCCTGGGTCTGCTTCCCACCCCAGTCCCCAGATAGCTTCCCAGCTGGAGCTGCTGCCCCACAGCTTCACCCCTGAGGCAACACTGCTAGCCAAGCAACCCCAGATCCAGGAATGTTGGTTGAGATGGCAGCACCAGCCCCGTGGATGTGGTGTCACCGCTTGTCACCAGTTCCCAGCACACCCCTCAGTGCCAGCAGTGCCAATATACTTTAAAGCTGAGCCAGTGTCTCCTGCTTGCACCACCCAGGGACCTGGGTGGCACCAGAGTGCCCAAAGCTGTGCCTCACCCCATCCCCTCCTAATCCCTGCTGGAGAGCTCGGCCAACACAGCAAGAGGAGACCCAACAAACCCTATGCTGGCCAAGGGCTTCAGGGATGCTGATCCCAAAGCAGCTTCCCTGCCCACAGACCAGGGACCCTCGCACGAGAGAGGGGCAAAATCATAAAACGTCCTCCCACCTTGGTACCCCCACGTGGGGCGGAGGCTGCCACACCTCGTGACACAGGTGAAAGGAACATCTCACATGCCACGGAGAAAGGCAGCCAGCCAGCGTGCCTGGCTTTGGGCCAGATGCTTGGGACTCCCATCCCAAAGGCAGCCCTGGCAGTGCATGGTGGTTACTCCTTGTGGAGCATGGATGCTGCTGGATGGGACATCCAACACGTCTCCTGCTCCTTTGAGAGCTGCACCCCCTCGTTGGGCTCTCCTCGTTTCCCTTCCCCCTCCCCTACACCCAAAAAATCAGGACTTGCTCCAGTGAGCTGTGACCAGACTGGATGTAGGGATGGATATCAAATGAAACTAAACGCAGGCAAATGATCACATCTGTGATTAATGATTAAGAAGCTGGAATGCCTACACCAGCTGCAGCCTGCCCAGCACTCCCCAGCTGGGAACAGGCAAGAAGGATCACACAGGATCTGACCAATGAAGAGCCTTTGGTTCAAGGTCCCCAAAAAGGGATCAACCACCAACTTGGTGACCCTGAACAAAGCCCCCACTGCCTCCCTCTCACGCACAAGAGTCCTGTCTTGTGTGGATCAGTCACATGCCAGACGGGGTGATGCAAAGCAGTGGGAAGCCACAGTGGGTTATCATGTGTCCTAGTTGGTATCTGGGAGCTGCACCCTCTCCTGGCGAATGGTCCACGGCAACGGCAATCCCAGCTCCTTCCCCTTCTTGTGTGGGTGTTGGACAGCGTAAAGGTAGGATGTGTACTGGAGCTCTGGAATGACCATTTTCTGGCAGGTTCTCAGAGTCCTGTTGTCCAAGTCTTGTTTGAGGTTGTACCCCAGGATATTTGCAGCCCCTGACTGGTAAGGCTGGAGAGCTTTGTTCCTGATGTGACCCTTCTCCACTGCCTCCTGCTCCAAGAGACAGGTCTCCATGAGCTCCTTCTGTCTGGTTCGCAGGTGATCCACCTCCTTCTCCAGCACCTCCAGCCCTATGGTCTCCTCAATTCTCCTCCAGAAGCTCTGGTTGAAGTGCAGGTAGAGCTTCCAGTCCAACGAGCACCACGCTTTTATCCGCTCCTCACTTTCTGGAGTCAAGGTCTGGACAGTGTCCTGACTCCTGGAATTGAGCTTGAAGTAAATTACATCATCCATATCCCAGCACAAAGTGTGCTTCAAGAGGATCATGGACTCATCAAAGTAGTCTGCTATAAGGATGAGGTGGAAGTTCTGCTCGATCTCCTCCAGGACGGCCTGGGTATAGTTTGTGCTGTCCTCCGCGTTGTTGTCGTAGCCAAAGTCAAACCACATGATATTCCTGGCGTAGATGTTCTGCCCGTAATCCGCGGGGTGGTAATACTGCGTGGGTGACGCCAGGTACTCGTTCACGTCCTTGGAGCTCCTGAAGGCAGGGACGTAGTGCTTGTAGTAGATGTAGGAAGACTCCAGAAGAGAAATGGGGTTCCTCAGGATGGAGAAGTAGAAGGTGTTGGGTGCCATCACCTTTTGCACCTATTTGTGGGAGGAAGAAGAGGTTATTCCGGAGGCACTGCTGTCCCAGCCAGGTTTCTCTGCAGGTGTTGTGGCTCTTTCTTACCTCCAAGGGGTTAAACCGCATGTGGTTGCACATGATGTTGTAGTTTTGGCCTATGGCTTCAAAATCCTCCACAAAGTGGGCCATGAAATTCCTCGGGTAGCCCAGGTGGTAGAGCTGGCCAGCAGGGAGGGCGACAGTGAGGTTGTACCTCTCTGCAAACCTAAACATGATGTTGAGCACGGTGCTGCTGGCTGTCTTGTGGGTCTTGAGGAACATGACGTTTGTCTTGGCATGGCACGGCGTGGGAGGGGTCAGCAGTGGCTGTTCGAGGTTCTGCAGGAAGGTGACTGCTTGATCCTCGTGGAAGTTTGAGGTTCTGCAGGAAGGTGACAGATGGGGCAAGCGGCCTCTCTGGTGCTGCACCCCATCTCCAAGACCTGGCACAGCCAAACCCAGGGGCTCCTCTGACACCACACCTCCAGCTGGTGCAAGGCTGCACCCAAACCAGCCCCATCCCTCCAGCATAGATGTCATGAGTTTTCTCTTTCTCCTGGTTCTCACTTACCCAAAGGCTTCAGCTCAATCCCCGTTTCTTTCCCTATCCAGCTGCTTTTGCCCTGAAGACCTGCACTGTGGCTGATTTGATCCCTTACCCACCCAAACAAGGGCCTAGGACTGATTTTGGGGCCACTGTCCTTTCACTATTAGCCTAAGCCTCATGAGAGCTGAATGAGGTGTCACAGTTAGGTCCTGGCTGCCTGGGCACCCGGAGCTGTGCAGCCTTGCTTCTGCTTCACTTACCTGTAATCCTTCATATGGAAGAATCCTGACAGGAAGATAAGTCCCACTAAAAGGCTGAAAATGATGAGACATCTGATATGCCTGGAAAAAGAAGAAGAGTTTCAGTGGATTTTTGTCTGATAGTCCTTTCCCAAACCACCAAACTTCGCATCTTGCCCTTGGGAATGTTAATCCCTGGGAGCACAGTTTTAGGTCTCAGTGGTGGCAGCCACCTTTGGCACCCCCAGCTGTGCCAGCAGCTCTGGTGTTTGAGGCAAGTCAGTGAGAAATTGCATTTTCACTATTACTCTCCTAATTTTGGCCTTTGGCAAGACACAGTGTGCTTCACACAGAGCCAAAGCTTTTCCAACAGCCTCCCACTCTGCTCTGCTGCTTTTTGTCTTGCTTTTCTTTTGGTTTTCTGGGGCTTTAGAGCTTATTCACTATTCAAACTCCCAGATTATTCACTAGAAACTGAGCCCTTTGTAGGGCTATAAAGACTTTCCTGGTAAGAAACCTGAGCAGCTCCTGTAATCGCATCTCTCCAGAAGATGGGGATCACAAAGAAACACTAAACTGAGTTTGGTGTGTTTTTTTTCAATATAACTGAGATTTTTTTCAAGTCAGAAAATCAATTAATAACCAAATAATGTTTGGTTTGTAATGATTAATTACACCCCACTTTGAAATGGAAGGGCTGGGTAACGATGAGGGGGATAATCTTTTCCAGCACTAATTAGGCAACCAACACATCAAGTGTATCGAAGTGTCCTTGCCCCTTGCAGGGGGTTGTAATGAGTCCAGTGGGTCTTTAAGGTCCACTCCAATCAAAACCATCCTATGATACCACAGTCATCACCAGCATCCCGCTGGGACACAGAGAGGATCTTTTGAATGCACCAGATGTGGCTTGAGCTTTAAACTGTTTTGAGAAAATCTAATCCCAATTTACAGCATGGTATGGTAGCACTTGTGGTTCCCACTCTCCCAAGGGAGTAAGCAAGGCTCCAAGCCTTTCTCCAAAAGCCCTTCCCAAAGCCAGGGAACACTGTCAGCCACAGCTGGTACCAACCTCTGACAGGAATTTACAGCACAGCTTCTGGAGGAATAGTTTCAAGACATAGCTGCAGGCAAAATTTCATCAGGATTTCCTCAGTTTTGGTCCCAGGTTTGGGGGTGGGGGGCAGGCAGGAGCAGGACAATCCCCTATCCTTGGAGATGGGATGGGAGAAGGAAGGGAGAGGGCCCACAGGCAGAGAGCAAGCTCACATCTGCCACATGCAGCCCCTGGTAATCTTCTTGGTCTTTCATTTAAACCAAAAGATGTTGCCGGTGCAATAGTTTTCCACCACCCTGCCTGCCTGGAGGTCCTTCCTGAGCTGGTCTGGCGATGTCCTCCTTTTGCACCTTTTCTTAGGTGCAATCAGTGGTTCATTTATTTGTTTAGGTGGTTTCTCCAGAATGGCAACTCTGTCTGATATTTTATGGGGCAAACAAATTGCATACACCCAAAACCATCTTGAAGGCGGACCAGGATCACAGTACGCCCTAGAAGGACTATCAGCCCCTCCTGCTGCAAGAAGACAGGCTCTGTAAACCTCTGCATCCAATCACCTCAAGGCATCCCACAGTATTCTAATAATTGTTTACTTAAACAAAGGATGACAAAGTGCCTTCCTGCCTCCAAATCTCCAGATACGTTCAGCACAGTGAGCTTCTCTCCAGCCTAACTGAATGCTCCCAGCAGACCCGTTTTGTCAGCATGTGCCCTAACCCAAACAACAACTGGATTCTGCATCTGGAGATGCAGTGGGGATAAAGGTCCGAATTATCTAGGCTGAAACCACGGCAGCTTCCCAGAACGGCCAGTTTTAAGGAGCTAGAGTGACTGATTTCTGCTGCACGTGGTGCATGGAGGTGCCAGAATGTGCAGAAATGACAGGCTTCTTGTCCAGGGGGTGACAAATGATGCATTCTCATGGCACAGTGCTTGTTCCTCTGCCTGGGATGGAGGGATGGATGGAAAGGCATCTGCCTTCCAGCTCAGGGAGTGAGCAGGGAGTGGGGACATGGAGGGGACTCTGCTGCCCCTCAGCCCAGCAAAGGCATGCAGTGGAGGTGTGCGGGGAAGGGCCAAGGGCAGGGATCGAGGTGATGCCCAGGGAGGAGTGTGGGACAACAGAGATGGGGGGATGAGAGGAGAGGCTCGCAGGTGTGGGGAGTGCTGGTCAGTGCACTCGAGTAGCCAGGTCCTGACTGCCACAGGGGGTTCTCTCACCATCACCCCTGGGCTTGTCCACCCACAGCTGCACTCACGGGGGCTGCCACTGGCTGCAGCATGACAGTCCCACACACACAGCGGGAACAAACCTCTCATGGACCAAACTGATGGCACCTTTCCCTCCTCTTAATGACAAATCTCCATCATTCCTGCAGACGCTGTGGTTGTAAACAAGTGAGCTCTTGAAATGATTCAGGGTTTTTACTGATAGAAACTGTATAGGACCTTTACCCAGAGCATACACACTCTGTTTTAAACACAGTGCTACTGCTCTGCCAGAAAACAGCACAGGACCAGTGTGGGATTCACTACCAGACCTTGCTTCCAGTGACGAGTGAGTAAGACATGACAACTCCCTGAAAGTCTGCAGAGAACAACGATTATATTTCAGGCTTTATATACTTCAAATACAGCTCATGGAAGTTATGAGAATATCAAGATTCTGGAGAATGTGATTTTTTGGGTTATCCTCTGCAGGGCCAGTAGGTGGACTCGATGATCCCCGTGGGTCCCTTCCAGCTCAGGATATTCTATGATTCTGTGACCTGCAAACCTACACTGGGGTTTCACCCCCCGTTAGGCTCCCACCACCCTGGCACACCACTGTGAGAGCCTTGAAGACTGTTCCCTTAGTGTCACACACCCCACCCTTTGTCACAACACTGCAAGTCTCTGACCGGAACAGAATCATGGAATCATTTAGGCTGGAAAAGACCCACAAGATCTGACAAAGCAAAGCTCAAGAGAGAAAGCCCCAGCTCGAACATCGCACTGAAGTTACCTAAGCATCCGTGACACGCAACCAGCCCGGGAGCCCTTGGAGGGAGCACTTGGGAGCTGACTGCAAACACACACAGTTCTTCTAAGAAGCCAAAAAACTTGCGGAACACTCGGCAGGGCTCCACTTGCCTTTCCAACCTGCACTGTGCCATCTCCCAGCTGTGAAGAAAACATGGAAAACTCCCTCTCTTGGAGGTGCCGCTACAGATGCTTTAAGGCTTGGGGCAACCTCCTCGTTGCTTTGGTTTAAGCAGAAAATAACAGACCTCTGCGCCAACTTAGCAAGGTTCTTTCAAATTAAAAGACCTGGGACACGGGAAAGAAAAACTCATGGCAAAATTAATCCCTACACTGGAGAAAACTGGAACTAAGTCTATAGGATATTAACAACTTCCAGGGATCACCTGAACCAGACGTTCCCGCAAAGTGAGTTTTAATTCAGCACCCCAAGCACTCGGCTCCCTCTGCCCTTACCTTGGAGTGCACCCAGGGCTTTTCATGCTGCTGTGAGCTGGGAAATGTCTCATTTGCAAATCGATTCCAGTACCCTTTTCATCTCCTCTGCCTCTTAGTGGCCACGTGCCTATTTCTAGCATCCCCTCGCTGCTATAAATGGCTAGGTGAGGACAAAGGGAGGATAAAGATGAGGGCAAAGGGAGTGGCTAGGTGTTCCCCAGAGTGGGTGGGAGTTAATTAATAAGCCATGGAAAGCTCTGATGTGGCAGGACATCAACACAGGTATAAAAAGCTGCCCCAGGACACAGCGTTCTCAAGAGCTTTGCAGGGAAGGAAAGGTTGGGCAAGGACCCCTTAGTGGGGACCCACCTCTCTCCTGGCTGCAGGAGGTGTGGGGGGCTCACAGCGGGATCCAGGCAGGGTGCTGGTGGAGGGCATTGGTCCATTTGTGACCCCGAATGTCACATTGTCTGGGGCCGCCGTGGTCAGCTGTGCCTTTCCTCTGCTTCTTGCACAGTGAGTTAGGACTGTAATTCCCGGCCAGACACATTCGGCAGGAGGAAATTAGGGACATCAGCAAAACAGGGGTGGCGTTCACCTACTCCAAATTCCTCTTAAAACATTTAGACTTCTGGTAAAAATGCAATTATTGTAGCTGGAAGGTAAGGGCTTCGACACTTGACTGCACCCAGGCCTTGGTGGGGGGAGAGGCTCTTGCCCCTAAATGGGTCTTATTTTATGGTTTGTTTGCAAAATTACTTCCTGGTGTTAACAACCATTCCAACCTGCATTATGCAGGAATTTAAAATTCCACCGAGGCTGCTGTACACCAGCACTAGACAAAGTGGGTTTGACAGTTGCAAATTGCCCTGGAGAGAACAGGATTTGTCCTGCAGGTCTGGAAGTGGGGTCGTCTCCCTGTTCCCCACGCAGAGATGAAGCCCATGCTCTCCTCATTTGGGCAAAAGTGTACCCACATCTCTCAGCCTGAATCAGGGGGGATTAAGTTGTTGCTTTTTGTCTTTTATGGCCATGCCACGTTCCGTGCATCTCCTGCTGGTCCCCTTTCCCTCCCCACCCACAGTGCCACCTTTCCAAACCTCGTATGTGTGCCCCAACCTGCCTCACCAACAGCCAAGTCCTCCGAACTCTGGGATCCTTCACCCACGGTGCTCTGCCTTCAGAGTGCCCAAATACGCAGCATTTCCTTCTAAATCACAGCTTCCCCAGGCCAGCCCCAACCCCAGTGCTTACCAAGATCAGAGATTAGCAAGGTGTAGGGTTGCTTTCCTTGAGCTTCTTGGTAGAACACGAGTCAATGTGCTCTTTTACAGAGAATTTCTAGGGTTACTCTTGGCACAGCACCCGGTGCTGCTGGCGGGGGGGGGCACATTTCATCGACCTCCTTCTCCTGTTACATTACACACGTCAGCTGTGCCACTTCTTGCTCAGGAGCTGGTAGAGCCCAGGGATCACAAAAGCCCATTTTTTACACTTTTACAATTGATTCATTGCTCTCTCCCGGGCTGTTGTACATGAATCGTCAGGTTTGGTTACACCAAAAAACCCCAAAACGATGCCAGGCAGGAACACTTGACTTCACGGGGGTTGGGCTGCTCGGAAAGCAGGGCAGAGAAGGCCAGCCAGCTGACATAGGATTAGTGAGTTGGGGCAGGATGCTGGATTCACAGCTCCAGACTGGCTCTGCTCCGTGTTGGGGGGCAGTCCCTGGGGCAGGGGGGAGGCTCAGCCCCATGCAGCCGCTCGCTTGCACCCCCACAGCAGGATGGGGACAATCAGAGGGGTGAAAGTGCAAAAACTCATGGGTTGTGATGAAGGGAAACAAAGCTTCCTGTTCTGGGAAAGCTGGGCTCCATCAGGTGTAAAGGTGACTTGGGAATGCCCTCCTTCGTCCTTCCCCAGCTTTTATTGCCAAGCATGGCGTCCTACACGTGGGATATCCCAGTGGTCCAGCGGGGTCAGCTATGTCCCCTCCCAGCTCCTTCCACACCCCAGCCCCTCACAGGTGGGGCAGGGTGAGGAGCAGAAAAAACCTTCACACTGTACAAGCAGCACTCAGCAACAGCTACAACATCCCAGTGCTTCCATCACTGCTCCAAATACAGCCCCAGACCAGCTACTGTGAAGAAAATTAACTGTATCCCAGCCAAAAACCAGTACAGAGAGAGGCAAAAGCAGTACAGAGGGCCAAGTGCTTCCTCACTGTGCCAGAAGACCACTGCTCCAAAGTGTGGAGCATCCACATCATCCTAATATTTAAGACTGTCCCAGAAAAATATAGAATTTTGGACAAGATGTCCCTGGCACAATGATTCTTTGTAAAAATACACAGGCATGTACCCAACCCTGTCACTCCCCCCTGTACAACAGTGCACCACTATTTGAAACCATCACTGAGAACATGGAACAGAGGAGTAATGCTGGCATTTAATGTCTTGGAAAGCTCCTGTAAAATAACCCTACAATAACTCCTTCCTTCTATTCCCTCAGGGAACTGCCCTATTGTTCAGTGAAACAGTAAAACTTACATGGAGCTTTAGGATCTTCACATGTAAGGAGGATGGTTAAACGGAGCTGTGCCAGAATTTCCCTGGCCACAGCACCAGGTTGTGTGTCAGCCTTGACTCCCTCCCGAGCACTCTCTCCGTATGTAGCTGAAAACAGGAGTATGGAAAGTTCCGTTTCCCAAAAAGAGCCTTTCATGTGGAAAGCCTGTATTTTAAACAGTGATGGTCAGTAGTTAAGGGGAAAAAAGAGAAAGAATGGTGTAGGGAAAAGGCAGAGAATATAAACAGTCTGATTTGGAAAGAACGAGATGCATCAGCTTATCCTGGCAGAAAGCAAATCCTGCATATTTTTCCCCCAAAATATCATAGACTTTTCATATTTTTGCATCACCCCACATCCAAGCAGCACAGCCTGATTGTGTTTCATGGGCTGTCTTCTCCTTCGCAGAACCACAGGATTCTAGAATCATGTAGGTTGAAAAGACCTCCAAGATCACTGAGTGCAACCCGTGCCTGATGCCCACCTTGTCAACCAGACCTGAGTGCCACGTCCAGTTATTCCTTGGACACCTCCAGGGATGGGGACCCCACCACCTCCCTGGATAGCCCCTTCTGATGTCTAATTCTTTCTGAGAAGAAATTCTCCCTTTTTGCTAAGGACAGCATTGTTCACTCTGCTTCACCCAAGAAGGGGTCGGTAGTTCCTCTCTAGCTGGTCCTGAGGAATGAAGGGAGAGGTGGGGAGTGTGCCATAGCAGAGAGAAAGAGTTGAAGGGACAAGACAGTAGGCCGGACTAGATACTGGCAGGCCACGTAACACATGGAGGTATTGCTGTCAAAAGCATCCATGTGGCCAAGCTGAGAGAGGTGTGATCTTAGAATTGTATCGGGAAGGGTGTTTGCAATACAGTGCCAAGCATAAGCCAGCATCCTCAGTGCAATCCAAGAACTCCCAGCCACATAGAGATTGTGTTCTGGGCTAAAACAGAAGAAAACTGACCCCTTAGGATGATTTTTCTTCCAAGGAAAAGGCTCTGGATGGAACATTTATGTCACTACTCTGCAGAAGAGCCAAAATCACTGAAAAGCAGCTAGCAGAGAATACAGCTACTGTGTCCTACCCTCATGGCATCCAACAAGCCTTCCCAAACCGGTACACCAAAGTAAAAACCACCAGTGAGCACCTTTTGAGCACGGCCAGCTTCCGACCTGTCCCACAGCCCACCCAGCTGCTCTGTGACTTGCCAGCTTGTCCAGGAGAATCACAGGATGGTTTGGGCTGGAAGCTCACCTCGTTCCAACTCCCCTGCCATGGGCAGGTGGACACCTTCCACCAGACCAGGCTGCTCAAACCCCTGCCCACCCTGGACAAGACTATGGGAAAGAGCATCAAGGGCTTTGCTGACATCCACTGCTTTCCTCACATGCAGGGGCAGCTAGACAGACACCACCAGCCACCTGGATGATAAAAGAAGAAGAAAATACTAAAGCAAAAATATGGTGGTCCTGAGCTGGTCAGAGCTAAGATTAGTGTGTTGGAAAAGAATCACAAGGTCAAACTGGAAAGCCGTTTGAGGCATGACTGTTCTTTGTCACTGAAAGCAGTTGTGTGATCCTGTGTGGGGATAAGAATTATCTGGCCTGCCTTGCTATCCTGTGTATATATGGGGTAAAAAAGTTATGAGGTTGGGCTGCCTGGACAACATCTGTCTCTGCTTGGATTCATTCGCCTCACCCATGTTGACGGAAAGTGTCATTTCATTGTAGAAGGTGGTCAGGTTAGTGACACTATTTACCTTGGGAGAATCCCTAGGCTCTTCCCAATCATTACCTTCGTTTGGATACAACAGAGCCTGGGTTAAGAGTGACATGTGTCAGTAAATACGGATATGACAAGTAAGCACTGAGTAGACCAGATGACTCACTGCCATCTGTAGCAGAAGGGTGACAATGTGGTTTTGTACAACAAACCATACATTACAATCCCTTCTGTTATTTCAAAATAGTCTATTTGCTATTTTATTTGCTACAGACTGTAGCAAATAAAACCAAAACTCCAAACCTACAAAGTCCATGTTAGAACAGAACAGTCCAGCTGGAAGGGACCTACAACAATCATCTGGTCCAACTGCCTGACCAGTTCAGGGCTGTCCTAAAGTTACAGCATTGTCCAGATCCCTCTGGAACACTGACAGTCTGGGGGCATCAACAGGGAAGCCTGTTGCAGTATTTGGTTATTCACTCTGTAATGTCCAGTCTGAACCTCCCCTGGCACAGCTCTGAGCCGTTCCCATGAGATCAGCACCTCCCTCTCCACGTCCCCTCCTCAGGAGGCTGCAGAGAGTGATGAGGTCACCCCTCAGCCTCCTCTCCAAACCAGAGAAACCCAGAGCCCTCAGCTTCCTCCCAGGACATGTCTTCCAGCCCTGGCACCAGCATGGTTGTCCTTATCTGGACACATTCAGGTACCTTCACATCATCTTTGATGATGGGGCCCACCCTGGCACACAGGGCTCCAGGTGAGGCCACACCAGTGCTGAGCACAGTGGGACATCCCCTCTCCTGCCCTGCTGGCCGTGCTGTGTGAGATGCCCCCAGGATGCCGTTTGCCCTCCTGGTTCCTACTGAGCTACTGTCAACCAGCATTCCCAGATCCTTTCTGCAGGGCTGCTTCCCAGCCGTTCCTCTCCCAATTTACACTTGTGCTCAGCGTCACTTGGTCTTGGGCACAACATCTGGCACTTGGACTCGTTAAATTTCATGTCACTGGTCCATCTATCCAGATCCCTCTGCAAGGCCTGTTGTTCCTCCAGGGTCCACAGAACTCCCAGCTTGGAATCCCAGGATACTTTGGACTGGATGGGACCTTAAAACTTATCTTGTTCCACCTCCCTCCCATAGGCAGGGACACCTTGCATTAGACCAGGCTGCTCCAAGCCCCATCCTTTTGGACTATCCCTCTGAGTGATTTTAACATCACTGTTATTATCTCTATCCAGCCAGGTTGGGAGGGTTAATTTTACATCCTCTGTGAGAACCAATCATGACTTGCTGTCAGGGAGAGACTGGAAGTCAAGAAGCAGGAAATACTGGCATGCCTACAGTCTGTCCCAGCCAGACAGATGTCCTGGGATCCCTTCCCTCAGCCTGGCTGCTGGCATTTCCCCTCCATTTGATAAAATCCAGAAGCTGGGTCTCCAGGCACCCTCACTTCTCTGGTCAGTCTTTCCAGGCCTGCAAACCTGTACGTGGGACAACACTGATGTCTATTTGGGACAGCCTGGAGTTGGCATCACTAAAGAGGCCATAAGCTGATGCTGTTTGGGATAAGTGTATTACATAAAACAAGCTAGGAAGAGCAACATCTTCACTTGGAAGACTGGCATCCACAGGTTCTCCTGTGTCTCTGATGCTTCACTTGCACACCCCAAGTGAGAAAATGCCTCCTCTGGTTGGTGTCACTGATAAATCGGAGCAAATCCAGAGAGCTGGGATACCCAGACACAATACCTGCATGTTTGGTTTCAGTGCTCAGATTAAACAGGAAGCATGGTAGTGTGTTCTTCAGCAAGAGCAGGCACCCCTGAAAAGAGCAACCATGATCCTTCACTTGTTCCAGCTCAATAAAGAAATCAAACACGGAACATCCACGTGCTTGCTGGTGCATCAGTGTGTTTATGGCTAAAGTGCAGGTACTGAGCCACCCTCCACCGGCTCCTCAGTGCGCGCTGCTCTCGGGAGCCGAGGGCAGCGTCTTGTAGGGGTTGAGGATCCCTTTGGGGTCCAGCATGGCTTTGAAGCGCTGCATGAGCGCCACTGCCTCGCCAGGTTTGCTGTACTGAATGAACTGCTTCTTCTTGAAGCCCAGCCCGTGCTCTGCGCTGATGCTCCCACTGCACCTCGCAGTCCACTCGTACACGAAGGGCTCGATGGCATCCAGCAGGGAATGGCTGTAGGACTCCGCCGTGATGTTCAAGTGCAAGTTCCCGTCTCCTGGAAGAAAACATCGCAGATGTGGGTCTGGAAGAAAAACTTGGTGGCCCTGCAATGGATACTCATTCCTGGCTCCTCCACGTACTCAAACAATGGGGCCTCTGTTAGTCTGCAAACTGTGCAAAAGAGACAAGCTCACTGTCCTACAAATGTCAGACTCTCTGTGCACAAATAATTCAAATAGGATCTTTGTTTTTCCATGCTTCCAGTGCAATATTTGAGTTATGCTACTTTCAAACTCCGACTTTTGTGATTTTAAAATTCCCACTGTGCTGCATTAATTATTGTGCCACCACTGTGATGCCCTGTCAAAGGCTTCCCCAAGGGCATTTCATAACGATCATTAGATTTTAACATGGCCCTTCATCGCTTTTTCTCTGCCTATTATGTTTGTGCAGTGCTCTAAATGCGCTTTGGCATCGTGTCAGCAGAAACAAAGAAAGCAGAACAGTTTCTCCTTTTGCCACTGTGCGATGGTATTTGATTAAGCACAGAGCTGCTGGGTACTCTGAAGACAAAACACACAAAGACAAACAAAACTTACTCATCCTCATCCCTCCAGATCCTTTTCCTGCAACCCAGCAAACCCTCACAGCACACAGCTTAATCCTCAATACTAAGAGCTATCACAGTGAGCCTTTGTTATGCAACGCGTCTTTCAAATCATCCCTAATCAAGCGTGCTCAGGAGTGTTCCTATTTTTTTGTGCAACAGAACAGCTCTGCTAAGCGGCCAATTTACCTGCTTGTAAAATGAGATTAGTTTCCCAGTATGATGACAAATGTATCACCCTTTCTTTGCATTATCTTTATACTCTCTGTTGGAAGGTTAATTGCTCACACACAATTCATTTTCAGTAGGACTAATAACGTTGGGAAAAAAAGAGTTTATCTGTCAAATATGTCTAAGCACATTAACCAAATTGATGGTCCAGTTGAACAAGGTAAATATTTAAATAGAAAGTACAGAGCAGGAAGATATAAATGACCGGTTCCTTGGCTGGCTGGCCAACAACCTGCCATTAAAAAGCAATGAAAGAAATTAATGAAAGCAATGAAATTCAAACACAAAGACCCTGATGCACCCTCCTCCTTCTGAAAGCCCTCAGTTTATGCCTCGCAGTAATCTAAACCCAAACTTTAACACTGCTAGGAAGCTGCACAGCTAAGCCTGGAGCACAGAAGGACAGTCACCTCCTTTCCCGGGATCCCCACCTACCCAAGTGGCCGTAGCCCACCACGTTTTTGGCACTCTGGCCCAGCCGAGCCCTCATGTCAGTCACGAGGTCATAGAGCTTTCCCACAGGCAGAGAGATGTCGTACTTGTACACGTAACCCTCGTGAATGAGGGCCTCTGTGATCCTCTCCCGCAGGCTCCACAGCATCTGAGCAACCAAAGATCACAGAAATACCAATAAATCAAGTGGCTCTTGCTCACACCAAACATTAGTCTGAACATTTCCCTGTGAAAAATACAAATCCAGGCCAAAGAGATTTGTGGAAGAGGAAACGTTGACTTGCCTTTATTTTCTTATCGTCCGTTGCTACAGTTCCATCGGTGACCAAACCAGAAGCTGTGGTCTGTTCTAGGAAGTTGTTTAATTTTTCTTCATCATGGGTTGAGTTGGAGCCCGAAGTTTCAATTAGAACATAAAAAGGGCTGCCTGAAAGTGAGGGAGAACAGAGTAAGTAGATGCTCTGCAGTAAAACACAGGAATCTGGGGCAGGTTTTGGAGCTTTTCCTAAGCTTGGCACATGTTATGTGCCCAGACTCCCTGGTGCCAGGCAGAAGGGGGGTTCAAAGGGCAATCCTTTATCTGTAGGGCACTTCACTGACATGCTCTATCCTTTGTTTAGTCAGTACTTTTCAGAAAACTATCAGTTTTGTGGGAACAAGTAGAAGTAAAAAGTCTTATCTTTAAAGATATAAAGAGTTTGTAATGGAATACTGGGTACAAAAATTATGAGGGATGCTGACACTCTCACTGACTTTTCAAAAACCAGTGAGTCAACTTTTTAATATAAGTCACTTTTAAGAACTCTTTAAAACTAGGCCAAAAATCCCCAAGCAGTACAATGCCTCTTTCTACGGCATGAATGCCACTGGTACCTGTCACTGGGCTGGACAGCTTGAGATGTCTCTCAACCAATTCCATGCACTTCTCATCCATGAATTCATAAGCAGACAGGATCTCGCCCAGCATGGCCCTGCAGGTTGTGAATGTTTCCAGAACCTTAGCGAAACTCTGACAGCCTTCAGACAGAATACAGAGAGCAATCAGGAACAAAACTAGACCCCACAAAACCCTTTGGAGGTTTCTGAGAAAAAAGTCTCATTGAAGGCTCCCCACAAATAACTCTGTCCCTGATGAGAGACACCCAGAAGCAGCTTTTAAACAGCTGTGCTGGGCCATGTACTCTGTTGATCCAGACTCTGCAGACTTGACTTCCCAGCCTTGCCTTGTCACCACCTTGTCACCTGGTGGCCCTTGGATGGTGGCTGCCTCTGCCTACTGTCACAGACTTGCCCTGCACACACATCTCTTTTGGATGCTGTCAGACCAGGCCCTCGTCTAGGAGGGACTGTCCTACCTGCATCTTCACCCTAATCTCCTGGCTTACTTTCCTTACAGAGCAACCTGCCCTAACAGTTATTTCAGTAGATATTTAATACCTGCACAGGTATTTCAGCACAAAGTCCCACACTATTTCCCAGAAACCAGCCAATGCTGGCAGTCCAGCTCAGCAGGCCAAGCAGTACTTTCTCCTCTCCATACCTATTCCCTTCCCAGCCCCTGAATTCATGCATGAAATCACTAATATCAGTTCCTACCTAGGAATGCCACGTTTACAGCCTTAGGTTTCTGAGGACAGAGTATGGAGACAGCAGTGATAACTCCCAAGGTCCCTTCGGATCCGATGAAGAGCTGCTTCAAGTCATAGCCCGTGTTATCTTTGCGCAGAGAGGCCAGGCAGTCCAGAGCTGAGCCATCAGCCAGCACCTGTGGGAACAAGGAGGCCCAGTCAGCACTCCCAGCTAGGAATCTGATTTCATGAACTTGCCTGGGGCCAAGCTGCCACTCGCCTTGAGCAGGGGGACACCAGCTGCAGCCCATTCCCACACTGCTCCTCCACTCCCAGCTCTTCCTCCCCTCTACATCCTACCTGAGCAGGAGAGAGTAAGTATTTCCCCCATACTTCTCTCCTTCCAACAGGACAAGTAATAACAGAAGATACAGTTTGCTCTGCTTTTCCTACCAGTGGTGGAGAAGACCAGCCACTCTCTGAAGGCCTAGCTCTGGGTATTCAAAAGAAACGAGAAATGCTGCTTGAAACAGTGAAGAGTTAAGCAGAATGAAGTACAAAGTCACTTGAGCCTGAAATCAAGGCTGAGTATCAACCAAGGCACATTAGTAAGGACTATTTTGACACTAGAAGGACTGACCTGAAAGGCAAACGCCCTCCCTTCTAACCCTACAAAATAAAACTAAGCCACGCTTTTGTTCCCTGCCCAATTTATTTCCCATTAGTGCTCAGTTCCCCAGCCCTGAAATCTTTTAGAACCCCTAATCCAGCCTTTACGCACTGAGGCACAGGCCTGTGGGGCAGAAGCAGCTGAGGAACAGCAAAGGCTCTAGGACAAAGCCAGCAGCCAGATGAACCCAAAGCAGTTATTATGGGGTGGGCTCTAAGCTCTAAGATGATCTTTAAGGTCCCTTCCAGCCCAAATCAACTTGTGATTCTATTAAAAGCCAAGTGAGCAGCCATCAGAAGAGAGTGCTGCAGGATGGATTTAGCAGAGCGTTCCAGAGACCTGGATTTAGCAGAATGCTCAGAGGAACCAACCTTGTGCAGGTAACCTGGGATGCCCCAATAGAGATACCTTCTTTTCACTCCTCTGGAATAGAAAACCACCCAACAGCACCTCTTGTCAGCAAGGGCAGAGGTGGGAGCTGGAAGCTGCCACAGCAGTAACAGCTGCAACTTGCACTGACCCTTCTCAGAAGAGCCCGACAAGGAAAAGTTAAGAGTAGAAGCCTGGAGAGGAACTTTTCAGCGTGCTGGATAGCCAGAGGAGCAGGAAGCAGTAAGAAGCAGAGGACTAAACAGAGAAGGGAAGTGCCAGGTACTCGCCTTACCACTTCCAGGCCCAGCACTGTCCCTCGCAGCGAGCCGTATCTCAAGAGCCGCAGGCCCCCGGCGTTGGTGGCCACGTTCCCCCCGATGTGGCAACTGCCTTTGGCTCCCAGGTCGAGCGGCATGATAAACCCCTGCTCCTCCAAGTACTCGTTGAGTCTCTCCAAGACACAGCCAGCTTGGCACACAAGGATTCCTGGAACAAAAATGCCCCGCTACAA